CATAGCAGTCGAGGCTCAAACGACAAAATCAATCGATCAATCAATCAAGTTCCACAAATGTCAAATTCCCCATATCCTAAATTTTCTAAATTCCAAATACTTTACACTTCCAGTTCCCTAAATCGAAAATTCCCAAATTACTAAATGTCCAAATACTAGTTAAAGCTTCTCAAGTCCTTGATCCTTCAAATTTTCAATTCTGGAAACCCCATATTTCCAATTATTCTAATTTCCATAAGTTCTTAAATTTGAAATTTGTAGAATTGTAAAATTTGTAATTTGTAAAATTGTAAAATTTAAAATCACATTGCCAGTGCCCTTGAATGTCCACGAACTCACGAGCTCGGTTGCGGGCACTCGATCGGAGCATCGCTGTAATGGGCGATCGTTATACCGAGCTGTAACACGTTGAACGTTAAATCCATTCGTTCTTGAACCGCTTCAAACGGAATCGTGTTCGTTCAATCGCGCTTCGATTCCCCTTCTCATGCGTAAAATTGTTTCACAATCTTCCGTTCATATGAACCCGAATAACCAACCGGCGAAAATCGTTTGATTTTATGCGATTTTCAAGCTGACCCCGATATTCCGCTATCTCCAAATGTTTTCCGTTTAAACCAAAGATTCTCATTATTTCGGCCAACTTAACTGTGCCCGTCGTTACTGCCACGGGAAATTCAGCCAATTTGCGACGAGACGCTTCGTTACCATAACCGTCCTCGTCAAATCAAAATTCCTTATCAAATTTTTCGTATTACGTGAAAACGGTATTGTAAGAAACAGTGTTTCGAAACTCGAGAATTTTTCGTCCAATTGAAGACTTTTATTTTAACCGAACAACCAATTTGAAATTTCAAGCTGTATAAATAAATATTTTCTGTATTTATTAATTTTTTAATATGCCAGGGAAATAATCTTGAAACGAAACTGAATAGCTTTTGAAATGAAGAAAGAGAATATTTCTGTTCGAATAAAAATTCTTTAAAAAGAAATTTACGTCTTACAAAGTAATCTTGACAGAAATTTAATTTCTTGAATATAACAGTTTATTGAAAAGCAAACATTCTTCTTTGATCACGTAAGAGGAAGATTCACTGAGTTTTTTCATATTCGTAAAAACGAATATACATAAGGTTATACTGCATAGTTAAACTTTAACCGGTGCTAGAATAACCTAATATTTTTTATTTGACTAAAATAAAAAATTTATGCTTCCATAGAGAGTCACTGACCTCAAATGATAAATGTACGTTTCTACCTAATAAAATGAAAGTTCCATATTTCTTTAGGTAGGCACTCTTATTTTATGCTGGGAGTAAAACTTGATATTTCAACATTTTCTGGATTAACCAGTTTATTCATTTGGCATCAAGAAGATGGAATATAAAATTCTTGCACAATGTGTTTATAGAAGTAATATTAAAATAAGTAATATTAAAAATTAGATTTTTTATTAGAAAAATGGTCAGTAAAATGTTGTTAAATGTTGCTTTATTAACATTTAATAAATAAGTATTTAAATAATTTTTTTAATAGGTTGATGTCATTAAATGTTGCTGTATTAATTTAATAAATAAATGCTTAAATAATTTATTTAATACATTAATGTTATTAAATGTAGCATTTGTAAGAAATGTTCCTATTTGAAACTTTAAGGGAAACATATACAAGCTGTCTCGCAATTGTAGCTCCCTGAAATGGGGGGTAGCTGACGCAATTCTGAATAAGATTTCCCTTTGCAAAAATGGGGTTTGAAGCTTCGTTTTTGAATTATTAAGGAAAAACATGGAACAATCAGAGTGCGAGGATTACGCATGCGCAAACGCGAGAGCGGCAGCTTCGGATAACGCGTGGTAATCCAACGCATAGTAATGCAGCGTGTGGTAATGCAACGCGTGGTAATCCTACGCGTAGTAATCCAACGCGTAGTAATCCAATGCGTCGTAATCTAACGCGTACTAATACAGCGTGTGGATATCCAACGCGTAGTAATCTAGCGCGTGCATATTCTATGCGTAGTAATCCAACGCGTAATAATGCAACGCGTGGTAATTCTAAGCGTAGTTATCCAACGCGTAGTAATTCAACGCGTAGTAATGCTACGTGTGGTAATGCAACGCGTGGTAATCCTACGCGTAGTAATCTAACGCGTACTAATACAGCGCGTACTAATACAGCGTGTGGATATCCAACGCGTAGTAATCTAGCGCGTGCATATTCTATGCGTAGTAATCCAACGCGTAATAATGCAACGCGTGGTAATTCTAAGCATAGGAATTTAATGCGTGGTAATCTAACGCGTAGTAATCCAGCATGTGAATATCCAACGCGTAGAAATCCAACGCGTGGATATTCGACGCGTAGTAGTCCAACGCGTAATAATCCTCGCGCTCTGATTGGTCCGCGTTTTTCCTTAATAATTCAAAAACGAAGCTTCATACCGCATTTTTGCAAAGGGAAATCTTATTCAGAATCGCGTCAGCTACCATTTCAGGGAGCTACTAATTATGAGACACCGTGTATAAACATGGAAAGCGTAAACACGCTATGAAACGAGGTGTGTCATTGTATAAGATTTCCGTGACAGTTTAAGGGTTAATAAAGCAGAGGGTATCTGACAGCATGAGGTGAGAACGAAAGGCTCTCAATGGAGGGTGAGTGTTCAAGTGGGCGATTTCGCGCGTTAAGATAACCACGACACGTGGTACGTGCCAAGAAAAAGAGGACGATATCGTTCGACGAATGTTTCGAGTTCACCTGTCGACGTCCGCGATCTCGGTTCTGCGTTTTCCTGTTCCCCGTTTAACCGACCGCTCGAGCGAAAACCCACCCTTAATCTTATCCGATCGCGTCGCTCTTACGTTTCGTTTCCCTATTACCGTCTAGCTGTTTCCTCCGATCGCATCGTTTTAATCTCGCGATCGTACAATGATTTCTCGCGGGACGTTACATTCCCACGGAAACACGCTGAATTCTCCTTACGCCTGGAATAGTCCCATCGCTAACAGAAAGGAACCTGCACGACGGAAGAACGAGGAACAACTCGGAATCGCGTTTCTTCGCGCACGATACAGGAAATTAATTTTGCGATTCGGGATCGGATTTTTACTCGAAATTTCTTTGATTTATTTCTGGAATTTATGTGAGGTATAGGGTGAGGCAAGATGAAATATAGATCTGTTATTTTTCTTGACAAGAGTTGTTTCTTCTTGTAAGAGAGTTATTTTTTGAAGTCTCAAGGATTTAGAATGGAGAATTCTTCAAATCATAAGACTGTGAATTACTGGAATTACAGAATAGAGTATTTTGGTCATTCAGAAATTCTGAATTACTTAAAAAATTGTAAATTTGTAGAATTCTAAAATTTTGAATTGATAGAATGAATTCCTAGAATTCCAAAGTTGTGAATTCCTAGAATTGCAAAGTTGTGAATTCCTAAAGTTCCCAAATTACAAATTCCTAGAATTGCAAAATTGTGAATTCCTAGAACTCCGAATTTGTTAATTCTCCAAGTTCCAAAATTGCGAATTCCTGTAGCCGCAAAATTGTGAATTCCTAAAATTCACTTTAAACTTGCTCACTCTACTTGATCTTACAACAGCTCCTATTACTACCATACATTTCTTACAAATCCCCAACAATTTATCTCGTCCTCTCAGACATAGTATATACATACAATAATTTACATACTTTTGATATGATCTGATATATTACAAATGCATAAACTTCCGTAGCCCAGTTACGACGCAGTAGAAACTAATTTGCTGATTGATTGAAATCTGGTCTGACACGGAAAATCCTCTTCAAAAAGCGATTCATTACTTCGCAGTAGAACTGTCCATTAACTGTCTGGCCTAGTGACTTTCTGCTCCATTTTGAAAATCGTGATAATAAAAGTGCCTCGCGAATTTTAATTGCGAACTGTTCACTGTACCGTTTACTGCAAACAATACAAACTACAATGAAATCTGCAGTTTTATAATCGTTGACCGCAGCAGTTACCCAAAATGAAAAATAATATCATGATTAATTCTTTAACTGTATAATTTGAATCTCTCTTGGTTCTCTGTTATATTCTGTGGGATTTAATGGTAAAGTCGGAGTTTAAAAAATAATATAGGATAGTGAAGAAGGGTTTGTAATATTTAAAGTTTATATTATAAAAATACCTACATGTATCTGTGTATCATAGAAACATATGTAATAGCTCATATGTGGACGGACATGCATATGATATAAGCTCACAGTTAAAAATATTTATTTATTTGACAAAAGAGTATCTTTGTTTAATAGTAATATTGCAGTAGAATTTGAAAAAAAGAATATTGATCTCCGTTAAAAAATTTTCAATCGAACTTGAAACTTTCATATCACATTTACACCACATATGTATAACATATGAGATCCGTGTGTATTTACTAAGAGCAAACTTCACGAATTTTTCTAATAATATTAGCATTCAAAATTAAAGAGTTCAAACCACTTTTCGCTACGAATCATTTCTCGATAAAGTCTCAAATAAGTTTTGTATATCTGACATAGTGGCAAATAGTGATCGGTAAAATAACTAGGACACCCTGTATGTCTGAAACGTATTCAGATAAAGCGAGTATTCCGGTATCGAATAAATCAGCGGATTTAATCGATGCGAATCTATTTATTCATATAAAACCAGGATCAGAGTGTGAGATAGGTACCTGTTATCCATCCATGATGTTTTTTCCGTTTTGCCTTCTTCCTCTCGAAATTCTGTTATTTCCAACGAAGGCATTGTCGCGTAATGCTGTTGCCGTACACGCGTCACGTTTGCATTGTTCGCATGATCCCCTGACCGGCCATTGTAATTTCTGGATGATCGTTACGACCGGAAATAGGATTCGCGACCTTTTTTTCTCTTTTCGAATGCTCGTTTTTCCACGTTCTTCCACGTGCTCGTTCGCATCGCGTTAAAAACTTCACGGTTTTCTGGTTCTAACGAATACGCTCGTGTCTCGTGCCAGGACTTCACGCTGGATTTTTACTTCCGGCAATTCTGGACGGACCCGCGACTCGCGTTCAAGAAACGACCGGGCGTCGAGACGCTGAGCGTCGGCTCGGAGTTCATCAAGAACATCTGGGTACCGGACACCTTCTTCGTCAACGAGAAGCAGTCGTATTTTCACATCGCTACCACCAGCAACGAATTCATTCGTATTCATCACTCCGGAAGCATCACGCGTAGTATACGGTGAGTATTTAATAACTCAACCCTTTGCACTCGAAGATAATTTTACTGTTTGCAAACAGCAACTTTAAAATATTAATTAAAATGTTAAATGACTTCTTTTGAAATTATTATTTCTCTACTAGTAATTTCCACTATTGTCTATTTCACTATGTTTATACATCACATTAGCACTATTATAGAATTAATTAAATAATGCTTGTTTTAAATTATTGTATTAAATCGAATGGCGCTTAAGAGGCGCCTCTCGAGCGCAAAGGGTTAATATGTGTCCTATGTGTGTGTTTAGAGATTATTTTCTGGTTTGCTATGTGGTAGATTGTATTCTTTCAATTTTTAATACCAAATTTATTTTTGATGATCACTTATATTTAGATGTAGGTAGATTGTGTATTCTTTCAATTTTCATCAGATTTACAGACGTTTGGTCACTATTTAAATTGAAAATAAAATGGGAGAATAAATTAGGTATGATACGTAAATTAATCAGTTGAATTTTACAAAAATTTCTTGATAACTTTTGTCGTTTGAAATAAGAGATGATCCGCCATTTTGACGAAGATCCGCCATTTTGTAATGGCCGCCTACGCAGTCAGACGTCAGGGTCTGATAATATTTTTGAAGAATTAATTTAAGAAGACTTTATATAAATTCTCGAAATAATTCAACGTGTACTCATGAAACAAACGAAAACAATTACGACAAATTTAATATTTTTCTTTGTGTTATAATTATTATAACGCAAAGCTGTTAATATGGTAAGAGCGATACCATCTCGTATTTGGATTATGATTTCTATAGAATTCCGGTACTTCGTGTTGTATTAGCAAATTTCTAAAATCTCAAATTTACAAATTTGCTAGTTGTCGTAGTCCTCAAACTTATCAAAGTTTTCCAAATTTTCAAAGTTTCGCAGGTCCTTAAATTAATAAATTGTGGAAGTCTTGAGAGTCATCAATTCTCCGACGTCCTCAAATTAATAAATTCTCAAAACCTTTAATGGTTTTTACACTGTTCAGAGTCATCAAGTTCTTCAAGTCTTCAAATTAATAAATTCCCAAATATCTGAATTTTCAATTTTTTAAATCCCCAAACTCTCAAATTCTTACGTACAAAACTCCCAAAGTTTCATGTTTCTAACTCCCTACTTTCTCAAACCCCTAAAGTTACAAATTTCTAGCTCTACTCCCTCAAAGTTCCAAGGTGCCAAATTTCCAACTCTCCACATTTTCAAAGCCCTACAGTTCCAAGGTGCCAAATTTCCAACTCTCCATCTTCTCAAACCCCCAAAGTTACAAATTTCTAACTCTACCCCCTCAAAATTCCAAGGTGTCAAATTTCCAACTTTCCACCTTCTCAAACCCCCAAAGTTACAAATTTCCAACTCTACGCTCTCAAACTTCCAAGGTGCCAAATTTCCACTCCCCCTTTTCAAATCCCTACAGTTCCAAGGTGCCAAATTTCCAACTCTCCATCTTCTCAAAGCCCTACAGTTCCAAGGTGCCAAATTTCCAACTCTCCACATTTTCAAAGCCCTACAGTTCCAAGGTGCCAAATTTCCAACTCTCCACATTTTCAAAGCCCTACAGTTCCAAGGTGCCAAATTTCCAACTCTCCATCTTCTCAAACCCCCAAAATTCCAAATTTCCAACTCTACGCTCTCAAACTTCCAAGGTGCCAAATTTCCAACTTTCCACCTTCTCAAACTCCCAAAGTTCCAAATTTCCAGCCCTCCACCTTTTCAAACCCCCAAAGCTCCAAATTTCCAACTCTCCACCTTTTCAAACCCCCAAAGTTCCAAATTTCCAACCCTCCATCTTCCTGAACCCCCAAAATTCCAAATTTCCAGCTCTGCACCTTCTCAAACCCCCAAAATTCCAAATTTCCAACTCCACCCCCTCAAAATTCCAAGGTGCCAAATTTTCAACGCTCCACCTTCTCAAACCCCCAAAATTCCAAATTTCCAACTCTCCACCCTCAAACTTCCATCTCAAACCCCCAAAGCTCCAAATTTCCAACTCTCCACTTTCTCAAACCCCCAAAGTCCCAAATTTCCAACCCTCCACCTTCTCAAACCCCCAAACCCCCAAATTTCCAGCTCTCCACCTTCTCAAACCCCCAAAATTCCAAATTTCCAACTCTCCACCTTCTCAAACCCCCAAACCCCCAAATTTCCAGCTCTCCACCTTCTCAAACCCCCAAAATTCCAAATTTCCAACTCTCCACCTCATGAAACCCCCAAAGTTCCAAATTTCCAACTCTGTACCTCCTCCATCACTGAAACTACCAAATCCGCCAATCCTAAATTTCTACCCCTAAAATTACCCAACCCCCAAAATTCTCGATCTCCCAAACACCCGCCGTTCAATATCAACTAAGTAACACGTTCACCATTTAACTCTTAAAACTCTTAAAGTATCGAGCAACTTGCCAAGCGATAAAATCGTTGGAACCTTTTAATTATTTTAAACAGCGTACACTTTCAGCCTGTTATCGTTATGCTCCCAGCATTGTCGATATCGTAATCAAGTTTCGAAGCAGGGATTTCTGGATCGCGCTCGAATCACGAGCAATTTCGACGAATGCAGAACAGGTCGTCCGATAGCTACTTGCAACGGTATTCGAAACGGGGTAAAGTCAGTGAACCTAGAAACGGAAGGAAATTTTCGCGTAATGGAACGTATTTTCTCGTGCAAAGAGACCCGCGCGATAAAACTGCCAACTTCAGGCGCGATTTTAACCCCGATTCGAAACCAGTTACCATCGGAAACCACCATCTAGACACTTGAGGGAATAGTCGTACCAGTCGCGACAAATTTGTTCTCGGCATTGCTCGTCGCACCACTTACAACCCTTTTACCAATCTCATCCTCGATTTGCCACCGGAATAACGGACGGGAAAACTTTTCGAGATATCGTTCGTTTTTGTGGCAGGATTGCTAATTGACCAAACGGGACAAAATTTTCTTTCATAATGTTATTGAGGGAAAATGGCTGATTTTCACTTCTTTAGTTTTCTTTTTAAAATAAAATTAATTCTAACTATTTTAATAGTGGGTTTACGAGACGTGGCATTTTTACGTATTTTTTGGGGAAAATTACAAACATCAAGTAATGTAGAAAACTCCTACTTAGAAATAGGACACTCATACATACTTGTTTTTATAAATTTTGCACTTCAGTTATTAAATTTTCTACAATCAAATATTATAGAAAACACCTATTTAGAAATAGGATACTCATACATACTTGTCTTTATAAATTTTGCACTTCACCTATTAAATTTCTCAAAATCAAATATTATAGAAAACAGCTACTTAGGAATAGGATATTCATACATACTTGTCCTTATAAATTTTGCACTTCACCTATTAAATTTTCTAAAATCAAATATTATAGAAAACACCTACATAGAAATAGGATACTCACACATACTTGTCCTTACAAATTTTGCACTTCACCTATTAAATTTTCTACAATCAAATATTATAGAAAACACCTACTTAGGAATAGGATACTCATACATACTTGTCCTTACAAATTTTGCACTTCACCTATTAAATTTCTCAAAATCTAATATTATAAAAAACACCTGCTTAAAAATAGAATAATACTTGTTCTTATATAAAAACATTTATTGCATCCTAATGTGAATCTCAAGTGCATGTCATAGCAAAATTTTCATTTTATACCAAAGTTTGAAAAAATTATTTACAAAAATTATGAAAGTGATTTTTACGTCTGTTGCAGTTTAACGATCACGGCATCGTGTCCAATGAATCTGCAATACTTTCCGATGGACCGACAGCTCTGCCATATCGAGATCGAGAGCTGTAAGTACGCACGTGTGCGTGTATAAATGCATACATACGAACAAGTGACGATCTGAGAAAGTTCGACACCCTCGCCTCCGTCCACTGTCACACGAACACGCTACATATACGTACAGAAATATACATACGATCCAGATTTATCATTGGAACATCCACTGTGTCGATCTTCAAAATGGCAATCTTCCCTTATAACCATCTTCAAATTAAAAATTGCAGACACTTCCAAATTACTGTGTTCCAAAATTGTTCGAAATATTGACAAAAAATCGGTTCATATATTGGCGAAAAATAGGTACAAATATCAATTGAAAATCGTTACAAATGTCGATCGAATATCGTTACGTGTATTGATAATTTATTGCAAATATCGTTTTAAGTATGGATTAAAAATCGTTCTGTATGCAAATGAAAAAATCGTTCCACATGCAAAAAAAATTGTTCCATATATCAATTGAAAATCGTAGCAAATACCGATACAAAAATCGTTTAAAGTGTCGACTAAAAATCATTTCAAATACCAATAAAAAAAATCGTTTAAAGTGTCGACTCGAAATCGTTCCAAATACCGACAAAAAAATCGTTTCCAATGTAGATTAAAAATCGTATAAAACATCAATTTGAAAAAAGAGTGTCCCAATATCTAGTTGCAGATATTACAAAAATATCTTCATAAGAATAAAAGTTATAAGAAGTCGATTGCCATTACTCAAACGCGACTCAAATACATCGCTTTCAACCCCTTTTTCAGATAAAAGAAAGACGCATAAACGAGCGTAACGACAATGAGCTATCTAGCTAAAGGAACCGTGTGTTCTTCTTTTACACGCTCATACGAAATATCGTAACCAAAAAACACCCACGACCCTATCACCCCCGTTCAACGCGACCAACGACCCGGTGAAGTCCCAGTCTCCTCGAGCCTTTCCTCCATTCTTTCTTCTCTGTCTTCTCCTTCTCTAGCTGTCTATCTATCTGTCTGTCTGTCTGTCCATCACTCGCCACCTAACACGCTCACTAACACGAATCAATCACACGATCCACGGCATCGTCGTGGGTCATTTTCATTCACTCCGTCCACTCACTCGCTCACTCACCAGCTCTCGCTCACTCTTAACGAGTTTTCTATACCATTCACGATGACTGTTTTCATAAAGCTGGGTTCTCGACGTTGCAAATATTCCGTTGCTTATCACTCACTGATCGGTAACTGTGTTAAATGAGTATCTCATTAATTAGTAACTGTGTCAAATGAGTATCTCATACTCATCAATCAGTAACTTTATTAAATGAGTTATGGCTTGTTCACTTGTTTCAAATTAGATCAATGAGGTGAAAGGGGTGAATGAAGAGCTATGGATTAACTTATTGATACTTAAAGATGCTCATTGATTATTAAGGATGCTTATTGATATTGAAAGATATGAGAATTTGATATGAAACAAAGAAATGAAAGATCATTTTTTGAAGTGATAAGTAACGGTGATGACACGGGCAGTTGCAACAAGTGCCCACCTTTACGTGCCATCGTGAATCCGCGGAACCGCGCTCGTGTTTCAAGAATCATTTTTCTTGATCTTAAAATTGAGATATGGTTGGAAGGATGGCAAACAAAGGATTGATTTATCGTGGTTAACGAAGGTGTGGAAATGAACGATGAAGGTTTTTATTGGGTTACGATGATATGAATCGAATATGAGTAAGAATATGGAAGCAGGAATCACATATGTGGATGTAGAAATTATGTGAACTTTGTTCAATGTGAAACCTATGTGAAACCTTGTTTAACTAAAATTACAAAATTATTTTTATAACAATTGAATTATTTGTTTATAATGATACTTGAATAACTTTTAGATTATTCTTTTAAATAATATATTTTAATATTATCTTACGATTTTTTAGATGATGTTCAAAGTTAAAATATGAAGTAGCTGAATAGTTCTATAATTGCTGACTTTATACTCAAATTAAAGATTAAATTCTGACTAAGACTTTCTCGATTGACAATTAATTTTTAATCTTTAAAGTTCTAATTCGAAACTTGGTTTAATTGGATGTAATTCAAAATTAAAAAAATGTCTAATAATATGTCGACAGAAGCATTCAAATAAAAATTAATTTTCACATATAAGTTTTTCATTTATTAAATGTACTTAATCTATTTCATAAAAAAGTCTCTAAAAATTTATAGAATATAAATTTTGCACAGTTTTATGGAATATCACGAAATTTTCACGTATCATTTCGCTTATTAAGTCTACTTAGCCTATTTCGTAAAAAACTCTCTAAAAATATATAAAACATAAATTTTGCGCAATTTTAAGAAATAACACGAACTCTGCAAAATTTTATGAATTTTTGCGAATATAAGATACGAAATGTACAAAATATAAAATATGAATTGTGCAAAATTTCATAAAATATAATTCCGTACCATTTCATGAAATATCATAAATTCTGCGAAATTTCACGAAATATAATTGTGATATTTTACTTGAAAATAAATTTTGTGAAATTCCACGAAATAAATGTGAAATATTTCACAAAATTCTTTTGAATTTTTTTAATTCAAGTAAACTAATTTCTAACAAAATAGCCTCTACATAAAAATCCATAAATCTTCAAAAAAAATGAAGAAGCAAAAGACGCAAGAAATGGAAGGCAAAAATTATGGCATAGAAAATTGCAGCAGGTAGCATATTCTCATAAATGCAAATCAATTTTGAAATCGATTGAATTCAATTGAAATTGAATTGAAATCAAGATCCTCAAGATCTTTAGAAACGAATCTCGCGCGCCATCTTTCCAGCAACACAGATCAAGCACACGCAGCAGAAACGCTAGCAAATCGTTACACTACAATGATCAGAATTCGCAATCGAATCACGCGTCCGGTTCCGTGCAACTTTGGCACCAGTGTTCAACAAGAGCACCTTGACGAGAGGCGTCCGCAATTGCTAAGCGACGAATCTACATTATCGTTGACTTCAGCACGGGACGACGCACACGGCTCGATCAGACGGCGAGCCAAATCGGCCTGTTTTAGGCTGCTAAGAGAGACTAACTCTCGTCTCTGAAGTGAGGAGCTAAACACACACCTGGAACACACCAGTGTACGGTGGCACGTAAAAAGAGAAACCGTCTGTGCGTGTGTGGGTGACTGCGAAATTCTGCTTGTGTGCGTGCGTGTGTCGCCGATCATCACTGCTGCAAATTGCACGCGATTGGGTGTGTGAAACCGAAAGAGGATGCCCGGATGCTCTCTTTGACCGCTTTTATACAAATCGGCCCCTTTCGATCGAATTAAAATTTCACGAGATGAGGTCAGGTGTACAAGTTGTTCTTACTGGAATAACCGGCCTGTTACCGGAATAACTTCCCTTGACAACTTGTTACCAGAACTACCCCTGACAACTTGTTACTAGAATAACTTCTGACATGTTACCAGAATAATTTGATCTTGGAATAATTCCTAGACCTTTGACAACTTGAACAACGGATTAGCGCTAATTTGTCTTGTTACTTCGGGAACTTGTTATCGGGAAGTTAGCTTTGAAATTGGGATCTAAGAGACTGCGGGTAATCAATCAACTATCGAGAGATCGCGGAAAAGGAAGTTTAATTGGTACGAAGAACTTATCGGTGGAAATATTTATCGCGAACGAGAGGAGACGGAAGGACGGTGGTCGATTAATTCGTTGACGGTAATCGGGTTGGCGGTCTTGATCATTCAACGGCCATTAAATCGCTGCTCTTCTGTCGATAAGTTCGGTAATTGTACCGTTTAATCCGACCCGCCTCGACTAACGATGCGACATTATCGGCAATCAGACGCATAAATAAAACGCTAATACGACGCGATTAATAATGATCGAGTTACGGACGGATATTGTAACTGTTATAAGATACGGTTTAAAGGTTATGGTTAGTACCTTTGGTTAGGAATTATTAGTAGGTATCATTAAAAATATTTAACTATTTAGTTTTGTAGTATTTAATCGATAATTGAATTTAAGATTAGGGATAATTGGTATTGATGATGGAAATTTACTTTTTATTTTATTATTTATTTTTTGTTATAGTTAATTGTATTGATAATAGTCGTTGTTAAGGTACAGTTAATACTTTTGGTTATGAATTATCAGTAGGTATGATTAAAAATATTTTTGTACTATTTAGTTTTGTAGTATTTGATCAGTGATTGAATTTAAGATTAAGAATAATTATTATTGATGATGGAGATTTACTTCTGCTTATTTTATTATTTATTTTTTGTTATAGTTAATTGTATTGATAATAGTCGTTGTTAAGGTACAGTTAATACTTATAGTTATGAATTATCAGTGGATATGATTAAAAATATTTTTGTACTATTTAGTTTTGTAGTATTTGATCGGTGATTGAATTTAAGATTAGGAATAATTGGTATTGATGATGGAAATTTACTTTCTATTTTATTATTTATTTTTGGTTATTGTTAATTGTATTGACAATAGCCATTGTTAAGGCTCGGTTAATACCTATAGTTATGAATTATCAGTGGGTATGATTAAAAATATTTTTGTACTATTTAATTTTGTAGTATTTGATCGGTGATTGAATTTAAGATTAGGAATAATTGGTATTGATGATGGAAATTTACTTTCTATTTTATTATTTATTTTTGGTTATTGTTAATTGTATTGACAATAGCCATTGTTAAGGCTCGGTTAATACCTATAGTTATGAATTATCAGTGGGTATGATTAAAAATATTTTTGTACTATTTAATTTTGTAGTATTTGATCAGTGATTGAATTTAAGATTAAGAATAATTAATATTGATGATGCAAATTTAATTTTGTTTAGTTTATTATTTATTTTTGGTTATAGTTAATTGTATTAACAATAGTCTTTGTTAAGGTACGTTTAATACCTTTGGTTATGAATTATCAGTAGGTATGATTAAAAATATTTTTGTACTATTTAATTTTGTAGTATTTGATCAGTGATTGAATTTA